TAGGATTGTTACCAAGATAAGCGGGCGCCAAGATACTGAAATGACTCATCGTAAGTAAAGTGTTTATTGATAGTTTGGTTTTCTTCTCTCTACTGAGTTTTGTCTGACTCGTGAAGTGCCATCCTACCCGTTAAAAGGCCCTTCTAATTACATGGCGATACTTCCCACCTGGCTCCGCGGCTGGATACACTGTGAGTTATATAACGGTATTAGACCATAACCATCTGTAACAGAAGGGTCAAGATATTTTCCAAGCGACTGAAAGCTATGACAGTATGTTGTTGGGAAATGAACCTTACTAAGAAGGCTTTTAAAAAAATCTGTTTTACTTCCTGTTTTAAGAGCTTCCTGACCGCTAAGTTCACACTTCACAGTCTCTGTGTTATCACTTGAGTTTCCTTCTGGGCCTACAAGAGAATTGTTAGTTTCTTTGACTCGTTTACGTTCAATTAAAGGACTATCCCGAGAATCTTGTGCTAGGTCGCTTGTTTTCTGTGCCCTCTTTCAGTGAAAGATGCTGACAAGGACACCGGCCACGCCGTTTACAGCTCGAAATCGACAGAACCTGTGGACCATGTTGTGGAGACAGAGTTTAATTCTTCAGCATTCACACCCGAGGTCGAAATGGTTTCATCAAACCCACTGTATGAGTCATCAGGTCTGAGTGCTGATTCAGGGGCCTCGCAAGCGGCAGCTAACCCTCTTTATGAGTCTACCAGTCTTACAGGATTGGGCAGTGCTTGCGTGATTACGAATCCGTTATGCGACTCAACCTGTACCCCTCGTGTTGTTGATGCTGCTCCAGCAATCGCAAACCCCCTGTATGAAGCCACCTCCGTTATGGAAGGAACTACGGGAGAAGTGAATTACGGAGGGAATGTCGATGAGGACGGAAGTGCGGAGAATCGCTTGGTGTGAGTGGATTATATATTTTGATTTATAGTTTTTTTTTTGTCGTTGAAGAAAGACATTTAGAAAAGTTTCATGACTTGTATAATTGTGTTTTGTAACGGCATCATGTACTTTAGACTTCATAACACTACTGGTTTTACAACTCTCAAGTGATCGATAAAATTTAACCTAAAGAATTAAGGTTAAATCAAGCAAAATCTGTTCTTGTCGAAATAACGGTGTCTAAATTAGTGTACCAGGTTACGAAGTAGGTGATATAATGACAGCTTCATTGTCTGCCTTTCTTTAGGGAGAAGACTTCAATTGCTGCAAAGCTAGACTGAATCGAGGATCGAAGAACTTGGATTTATTCGTTTTCACATTGATCACAATTTACACATTAATCAAAGGGGCATACTGCAATTAAGGCAACTAAATCAGGCAGATAGACGCGATTAGTTGTTCAACGCATAGTTGTACAAGGAAAGTGCGTGGGTGAAATTAGGTTAATAATTTACGCTTTCCTTCGCCTGAAATTCATAATTTTCGCACGCGCAGAGTGAATTTACTTGTCATCAGATCAGTGGATCTTTTGTTATAAAACTCACGCTGGTAAACTCGTCTTACTCTTAGTTCTGGTAAGATTCCTTTTCGTATCTGGGTCTTCATTTAGTCAACAGACCTTTTTTCTCCTCCCACAATAATTTTTTGAGAACCACTTATCATTTAAATTTCTGATCTCTGACTATCGACATTATAGAAACCAACTACTTGTTTTCTTTTTCTTCTGTTTGTTTTTTTCCCTTTGTTTTCTTTCGAATTTTGGAATGAAATAGAAAGAACGGAATTATTGATTTGTCAAGATAGGAGCACGATTACCTTGTAGCTTTCTTGCAGTCTTTAGTCGTTATAGAGCGCTATGCATTTGCTGGTAAATTTAGAATGAGACTTGAATAAAAAGATTTTTGAAAGAATGTGTGCATGTGTTCAAGAAGTGTGGAACGCAGGTTAAGATGTTGCCGTTCTGGCTTTTTGTGGTTAAATCAGGGTTTTGGGGATTTCTAGGTAGTTCGGATATTTCGTGAACTAGAAAACCAGTTTAATTTTTTAATTGACTCATAAAGAGCACTAGACCTTTGCACCGATGATTGTTTTGAGGGAGGAAAATTAAGAAACTTTCGAGGAATCCCAGTTAACTTTACATTATCTCTGAACTTGTTGCAGTTTGGATACGTTTTACCTCTCTCTTACCACCAAGTCATTTTTGCTTCTATTGTAACATGAGGACTTTGGAAAATTATCGAAGTTACCGGAAGTACATTATAATAATCTCCACGCGAAAACAAATGGTTCATCACCTGGTTATCTTGATCATCGCGATGAATATTTTGCAGGATTCAAGTTCAATGGGATATGATATTTCAATTTTTGAAGTAATACTAGAAAAAAAAAAGTAGAGAATTTTCAGGAAAAAGAGCATTTCTAAATCATATTAAGTGTTTCATGTAAATTTTTAGCATGAAACTAGAAAGTGAATCTGCCCAGTTGGTAATAAAGTTCATGATCTGTATTTCTTAGGCCGTTAAATGAGTAACATTGGGAACATTGATGAATTTAGAATATATGAAAATGATATAAGTATCATATGTGTGTACTGCGTTTGCATGAAATTTATCAAAGCGATCCTCCCAGTAATGAACCCTTCTCATGTATTAGTGGGAATTAGGGCTGAAAACAAAACAACAACAACAACAACAAAAAAACATTTTTCAGGTCTAATTTCTACTACAACATAAGTAGCGTTCATTACTGCGAGGATGGATTTCATACATTGCAACTGGGCATATTATGTAGATTTCTGCTGAGTATGATCAGATTCTAAAGCCATAATTGCATGATCCTGCTTTTCACAGAAAGCATGATTATACCAATTAAGAGGAAAGATGAGATTCAAAACGCATGGCGTGTCTCAATCATCATAAACGCCAGAGCCTGTGGAACGATACTGGTATGAGCAGGAATCTGCGAAGAGCGTTCAAGAGCTTTAAAAGAGAAAAGCTTTTTTTTTCAGAAACAATAACTAATTCCAGTTTTCTGGAAAGCTGATTAGGAGATTTGTTCAAAGACAGACAAGATTTCAGAGGTGCTATCTATTTTCGTAAAACTATAGCTTTACAACCATTTGATGTGAATTTTACGAGCTAGAGGACCGAAATAAATTGCTTAGCAATCAGATTAATTCAACACTTTTAAGTGTTTAAACACTTAAAAGCAATTAAAATTGCTTCGCAAACGAAGCCGGCATGCTATGGTAACAGATTGTCTACCCTTATCATTATCTATGCCACATCATGCTCGTAATTGAATCGTGCTCGAAGCTTTATATGGAAATCACTGTTGATTCCAGTTTTCTGGAAAACTGATAGAGAAATTGTTCAAAGACAGACATGATGTTAAAGACGACAAACATTTGCGTCTAAATGTTTCTTTATAAAAATTTGCTTTGAATTTTCATGGTAATAAACTGGCCATCCAGTTCAAAGTAGGTTTTTTAAAATGACATAGTTCGAAAATAACAGAGATAAAAAAAATTTTATGTCGGGAAAAATGCAGTCTTTAATGCTGTAGGCTTAATTAAAAAAAAAAAAATTAAAGACTGCACTGATGTTTTTCAAGGGAAAAAGTGACGCCTGCCAAGTGAAAGTGTCCCTCATAAATATATAATGTGCTTCAAGCAATATAACATTTAATTACCCAAACAAATGAATATTGAAATATCATATTTCAGTCGTAGAGGATCGAAATATAGTGCTAAGCCATAATAAATTTCTTTATTGTTTCCCAAATGTTCGCCTGTAAATCCAGTGCTTTCGTAATGAAGTTCAATAAACACCATTTTATTACACGACTCGGGCAGTCGGAGGGCCAATAACTAAAATCAACCAATCGAAATGCTCTATTGTCGGTCAATATTCTCTCAGTATTGGACTGGGCACTGTCCCGAATGGTCCCGAATGATACCGCACTTGTGTCCCTTTGAACTTCAGTCGTATAATAAATCTCTTATTAACCAAGCTTGCTCGGGACCGTACTGGAAGAATATCGGCCCTCGGTCTTTTTTGTACGGACCTCGCTGCGCTCGGTCCGTACTGTCAAGACCTCGGGCCGATATTCTCCCAGTACGGCCCTCGCGCTTGGTTAATAAGATATAT